CGAGATGGAGCCGAGGCCGCTGGAGGCCTCCGAGACGGTCCTCCCTCTAGAGTCGCCACCGAGTAGGTTGGTGTACTCGACTTCCGAACTACCCTCCTTCGGGTACTCCCTCGGCAGTGGCTTGACTTTCTGGACGCTGGAGTAGTTGATGTACTCGGGGCAGTCCTTGGCGAGGTCGCAGGCGTCCTCTCGGCTCAGGTAATTGTTCTCGTCCGTTTTTAGGAAGTTGTTCATCATCATGTAGCTGGGGTTATTCTGCATGGCCGTCGGGCTGTAGAGGCCGCTGTCGTGCTTCTCCAACTCCGAGGCCTGTCGAGCCACCTTCGGCCGAAGGGAAACGTTGGGCTTCAGCAGGCGCTCCTCCTCAAATGACTGGCTGGGCTTGGACGAGTCCATGGACAGGTAGTTCACCTCGCTGTGACTGTCGACGCCGCCCTCGCCGAAGCCGTAGTCCTCCTGCAAGGCCTCGCTGTCTCGCTTTGCTATGCTCCTGACCGTGTCGCTGTCGAAGTCGAAGGCAACCTGATCTTTGTGGCCCGGAGTGGACATAGCCATGTAATTTCCGCAGGGATCCTCAGGATTATGAAAACTCTGAAGGTAGCTCATCTGAAGCGTCGTGTGTCGAGGGGTTAGGGGCTCGCCGAAGGGCAGGTGCACGGCGCCGCACGGACTGGGGCTGAAGGGCACCTCATAGCCCTGGTGGTCGACGGTCGGGCTGCCCTCGCGGACCTTGACGGAGTAGTCGGGACTCTGCAGTCGGCTCAAAAAGGTGCTGTCGGTGTTGTCCACCTGGTAGGGCTGGTTCAGCTCCAGGTAGTACTGGAAGGAGAGACAGGCAGTGAGTGAGTGACATGGCCTCTGAACAGCTCTCACTGTTAAGGCGAAAGTAGAGCTACTGGGAGTTAATTCATTGCGATAACCATCAGACATACTTTTACAATTATAACTTTTGAAAGAAGAATGTGAATAATAAACAGACAATATTCAAACGATTGATAACAGCTGTTTGGAACTAAACAGCTGACAATGGCAGCAATTGGTAGCCGAAGACTTATAACCCAAAGTCGATAACATGCAAGCGATAGACAGCGCAGTCACCTGTCTTTCGGCCTCCCCGATCATCCCGCCGAGCCGGGTCTCCAGGTCCGAGAACGAGGGTCTGTCCAGGGGGTTTCCTGCCCAGCAGTCGTTCATGACGCAGTGTCTGGTTTGGTAGGAAG